TAAATAGGATGAAAAATCAATGCTATTTTGCTCAAAAGAATCTCACTTTAATGCTCTCTAGTTATTGTAATGAATGACAAATGAGTTGGTATTTATGAGAGTGAGAAATGCCTACTTTTCTGCCTAAGCAAACAACCCAACTAGACGTCCGGAACAGTACCAGACGTCCCAAAAAGTGGCCGTTTGAAAATCAGTCAAAACGGTCTAATTTTTTACTGTTGCTGTTGTCCGGATGGCCAGAAACATTCTGGTCCTTTTTTTTTTTTGCAACTTCGTAATTTTTGCTTGACATATATACTTGATACTTCAGGGTAAGTAATGCTTGGTATGATTGAAAATTAAGTTATAGTCCTTACCTTAAAAGAAAATATTTTTCAAGCAAAAACGTTTTACAAAGTGAATTTTTCTTGTGCATCAAAATCCTTCACTTGAGCTTTCAATATGTCATTGCTAAGAATTAAAGTACTTTACCTTTACAAACGAGCTAAAAATATCTAGTTCCAATATCTTTGATTAATTTGGTGCAAGTGCTCGATTTGTTGCTTAATTTTGAAATGGCGCAAAATTTGTTTCCAATTGTTTTGGCATGAGTGATCTATTGTGAATGATCGATTTTCAACTTGAGCTTTCTTGATCAACAACTTTTTGTTCAATTGTTTTGTCTTCAATTTGATTAAGTCCACAACATGTAACAATGAAAACTTGAATATAAATACTAGAGATAAACATACTTTGTTTATTATAGTCAAAACATAAGATCGACTATAGGTCAACACCTATTGCAAAAGTGTTTGCCGCCATTAGTAATGAGTGTCCTTAGTGTTTCAAATCAACCGAAAATATTTTTCTTTAAAAAATTTGTGACTACGTAAGAATCATTGGTTGGTGTAGCAATTGCTTGAACCCACTTAGAGATATAATGTACCGTCACCAAGATGTACTGACATGAATAAGATGATGGGAATAGACCCATGAAATCTATACCCCAAACATCAAAGAGCTCAACTTCAAGTATGGAGTTCAGAGGCATCTCGTTCTTCTTAGAGATGTTTCCAGTTCTTTTACACCGATCACATCTTTAAATATGCTATGTGCTTCTTTAAAAGAAATTAATTTTTTTTATTTCTACGTATGTTTT